GGTTCCCACAAAAAGGTATAAATAGGTGAAGAAGGATTTCTGTTTGAGAGCAAATCATCCTATATAAATTTAAAAGCACTTCGGCCAATCGAGTCCAGAGCTTTGAGTTGATATTTAGCTGAGTCATCCGATGGCTTATCGACTGTACTCTGCGACTAGCCATCTGATTTATTAATGTTACTATCACATCGTCTTAGATAGCTACTGTTCCGACCTTATACTAATTAATGCCGAACTACCTCGGGAACTTTTCTCACAATAACTGTTCCAACACATGTCATTCCTAGCTATCCCGATCTTAGCACCGTTGTAGAGACATTTCATTGCGCTAGATAAATTCAGACTTTATATGGTACATAGTACGTAGGGTGCATATGATAGTAACTGATTACCGTAGCCCAAGGACGCCTGCAGCCCAAGAGTCACAAATGCATTGCCACACTTTGAGTCCCCCTCCACAGAATTGACCGGCTCTGCACCGGCTCCGGTAACTTTACTCACTAAGTGAAAAGCAATAAAAAAATTGCTCAGTACTCACTGCTTTTCTGTGTGTTTTCTGGTAACACTAAGCTCGAGATGGCCCATTTGCGTCGAAACGAAGCTCTCCGTTAAAATAGGCTTCGACGACGACGTCAAGAGAGTAAATGATTAAACGGGGATGGCATTATATTCTTATTCTGATGATAATGTGATCTCACATAACTGTAATTATTATCGACCATCCGCTATTTTCGAATATAAACTAGCTATCGGGTTGTAAGCATAAACAATAGCGCACACTGAATTGTAGCCGTCTGATTTATTGATTGAACTGTAACTTTGTTAAAAGATTTATTTTTCCTTTAACAGTGTAAAATTTAAAATTATGTCAGGGCTTAATATTAGTGACTAAACATCTGATAATGTTTAAGACACACATATTTAGCAATTTAAAAGGTTTGCCCTTCATTATCTTCAATCGTAATGTGAAGAAAAAAACTCATTTATTAAAAACTCATCAATCATTTTTACCTATTCTATATGTATGTATCTCTTTTATTAAAATACTCGTATATTCTAATGCAATTTATTTAAGTACCCTGTGCATATAATATTCTATTTATACTATTTTTTTTTCTTTTAAATCACATTTCTAATTTCTGTGCATCTACCATTTTTTTTTAACTCTGCATTGCCCTAAGGTCGACTGGTAGAAAATGCCTACGGCATTAAGTCCGCCTGTGTCACATTTGTGCATAAAGTATAAATAAAAATAAAAAAAAAACTTCATTGTTTTTAAAAAACTTTTTTTTTTGTCCCTTGACCCTTGTCAAGTCACATATACAAAATCACTGATTAATTACTGAGAAAAAAATGTTAAATGCATTAATTTCAACAAATATGGTCCATGAAAAATAGCTACACGTATTTCATTTCTGAAATGAAGTATTTATTGGACTCTAAGAATTATAGGTGTGAAAACTACAGATAATGAACTTATGCACATTTAGTAGATGGATGGCGTGCAATGTGTTATTGGAACAAAAGAGAATGGAGTCGCCCGATATGGCGATAAATTATTAGCTGGACTGGAGTAAGTTACGGAGGAAGTCATTAATTGTACCAATGATAAATTGTGATAGTGTCGTTAGTAGGTATATCGATTGGTGTACCTTTATAATTATAGATGGATCCGTCCTCCGGGGACTCATTACCAATGATAATCGTACATCAAAAGTCCATAAATTGTGATAACACATTTTGTTGAAAACACAATTTCCGTCCAATAGGTAAAGTTACAAATAAAAACTTATCAATGTGATTTCTATTTACACAAACCCATGAGCTTCTTAATATTGCCCATAAATATAAAACTATCTTCATTCAGATGCCGTGGGAGAGCCATGGTTAGCCATGGACAGCCATGTAGCGGCACGTACAGGTACGGTATCACGGAAAATCGCTAGCAAGGATTTAGAAACCCACTCAGGGCAGTCTTCCAGCGTGAAGGAGCTCAGCACAGCCCTGGATTTTGAACCGTGTCTGTCACGCCCGCAGAGCCTGCGTATGCACGTTCCGCCGTAGTATTCCGGGCTCATGATCTGGCGCGTCCTCTTCTCCATTCCGATCGACAGAGCGAACTTAGTCATAGACCGATTCAGTGTAGAGCCATGCAGTGGCAGCTCCCGCTAAGTCATTAGACCAGACGGGTGCTCTAAAGAGAACCATGGATCGCACGACGCCTATGTGAATGCGGCGAACTTCTTCCCGTGGTCCTCCGAGATTAGGCAGCTGGCGATGCAGTGCACTTGCTACCCCTGCACTCGGGTGACTCATCGCTCGAAATGCTCTTCAAATGAATGTTTGAAAATCACCCGCAGTTTTGCCGTCTTGCACGGATACATAAATCGCGCGTCTGTGTCGCCCATGATCGCGTGCAAGCGTTCGGCCAAAGCTTCCGCTTTGGCAGAGCTATCCGGCCCGGGGACCTCCAGTACTAGGCCCCCTGTGACCGCCCTTCGCTGGCGGACCCCGCCCGTAATACCGAGCTCTGCCAGCTTAATACGGGCCTTTATTACTTCCGCCAGTGAGGTACTGGATTCGACGGCACTGCGACTATGACGGCAGCATTGGTGGTCGCGCAGTAATTGCGTCTTCTTCACCTTCGGGGCAGAAGTAGGCACCGCGCCCTGTCTCGCAGCGGCAGCCTGGGATTTTCTCCCAGCAACTCGGAAGAAGGAAGAGAGCGCAGTGGCTGCAGCAGTCGGCTGCCGCGCCACTCGAGTCCATTCCTGACCTAGAGTGGGTCGGGCACCTCTCTCTGAGAAGAACCTACCTAAAATCCCGGACTGGAATCGGGCAAAGTCACGGTTCATAATTGATCGCCAATTTTACCTAATGGTCTGAAAATATATTCATCATCAGTCATCTACAACCACCATCAACAGCCTTTAGTGGGCCATTGGCTGGAGATAGGCTTCTCCTTATAAAGGTTTTGGTCTACTATACTACGCTGGCCAGACGGGTTTGTATATGGTTTATTTCAGGTTTTCCTTCTCTTTTCAGTGCTGTTGTCCAACTAGTTTGCTCCTTTAGTCAGACTATGTTCACTACGGAATGAATATACATAGTGATGCTCCATATTCTTAATCCGACAACACATGGATTCTTAATCCGTCATTGTACTGTATATATTTTGCGAACTGTAAGCAAATCACGATGCAGTTCATACGAGTACCACATCTTATATCTTGATAGTACAAAAACCCAAACTCTTAGAACACGGGAAATTTTCCTAAATAATTCAGAGAGAGATATACGACAAATCATCCGGGTGCCACTCGCCAGCATTCCGAACGGGGTCAGCAGGAAATGAAACCACGTGTTTCAGTGCCAAACCTGGCTGTGCTTGGATACGTTTCAAGTGGCAACGTATTGGTCGCCAAATAAAATTGTATGCTTTCAGCTACCATATATTATGTTTTTAGATATAGGTATATTTTTTTTATTTATTTATTAAAATCTCCAATGAAAGATACACAAGTAAAAACAATCATTAAAGGGGTATAAAATTTTACACTTTTAAGTATTTGTTTGTTTAAATTGAACTTGGCGATTAAATCTACTATGAGTCTTAAGATCTACACAATTTCAAAAATTAAGCATAAAGTCCATTTAATATGAGTGTCGGAAAGTTAGATCTTCTGTAATATTAAAACTTGATTGTAGAGGCAACTATTTCTTTGATGGAAGCAACTTAAATTTCCCTTTTATGGAGGCTTATAAAAATACATGTGTTAGTCTCTAATGGCGAATCATTATCTAAGCAAAGATCATCCACAACACACAAACACCATCGGATTATTTTATGTCTGAGGTTAGTATTTTCAACCAAATTGCACCAGGTTATGAGAAAGTTCATTTTTATTAAATGTAATAGAAATATTACATAACTAGCTATTGAGAAAGTTGTTTAAAAATATACTTACCTACTATAATAGTTTTACCTGTGTACACGAACCAATTTACTGTAAAAAACTAAAAACACCTGGAAATTTAGTCCATAGTTGTTACTGACCATAAAGAAGTTGGCGTTAAACTGATCTTGTCAGGGAAAACACTATGCTGGCTTGTCTTTGTTGTTAGTTGTCAGGAAATATTACATGTAATTAATAAAAGCAAAGTGTAGCATATGAAAAACATTTTAGTACTTCGACTTAATGCGGGATAACTATTTGTGAAGACCTCTTTATATTATTTAAATAAAGCACGACAGTTTGAAATAATGTTTTACACAAGCGCCATCTATACTGTATTACAGGAAGTACTAAGTGTCTTAGTTATGAGTAGTGTTTAAATTCATTTCGACAGTCTGGAGTACCGTAAGTATTTACTAGATGGCGTTTATCAAGGTTTTATTCAGAGCATGGAAAATATTAATATTGTTCAATTTATTCTTAAACAGCGCAGTTAACTGTCAAAATAGTTATGGGTTCGTTTATCCGAATATTTATATTTTAGAAAAATGATTTTATGAACACAAGCTTAGGTATGCTTAATGTAGGTAGAATCGAACTTCAAATTAAGTTCAATCTGCTACGGACGCACTATCGTCTTAACAAGGGTGTGTGGAACTCGACGTAGCATAGAAAAAGGAATTTTCAATCATCATTATATCACTATATTTTCATTATCACTATAATTTAAAACCTATTTTTGTGGTACGTTTGATCATTATAAAAATGACAATAATACTTGTTACTACATTTTAAACATTATCATGATTCTTTCAAAAAAAGCTTCGGAATTGGCTTTTGAAGCGTAAACTGGGTAGTATAAAAAAAACAAAGAAAACCTCAGAAAGGTTTTAATATATTAAACTTACATAATATGTTTCAAAAAAACAAAAAGCTGAATGTAAAAAAAAAACATTCAAATACCACAAATTACACTAAAAATTATCCTACCTTAAAGCAAAACACTTACGAGTAAGTATTCGGCGTATACCTATCACCTTTTGGTTATACATTACTGCAAGCATATTTACTAGACGACTTAGATTTGGAATTGTATAAACTATGTACCCATCCAAAGTCAGGCTTAGCTGGAGTTGGATCATAATTAAAGAACATATTGTTGTCAAAACTAGCATCGGTATGGTAATGACCGTAGACATTTCTACTTCTTTCTAAATGTTTTTGTACTAATGAAGGTGCTGGAGTATTCAAAAATCGTTCATCAATTCCAATACTTGGTGACAAAGCATCTAAATTTATATCTTCATTCATCTTATTATGATTAGCAGTACATAAAACATCTGCATTCATTCCTTGGCTTCCAAGCCCAGTATTATAATTATGAGTATTGTCATGTATTAGCTCAGTATTTTCAATCCAATAATTGTTCATAGGTTGAGTATATTTGCAGGCAGGCAACATATCGTAGTTTGGCAGTGGAATCGTTTTGTCAGGAATCATATAACCTGGTTGGACTAACTCATCAACCTTAGTGGAGAGTCCCGATGGAGTAGCTGTACTCATCATTTGTGGTTCTGCCAAATGTGTAGTCGGTTGCAGTTGTATGTTATTGGAAGAAGTATGGTAATGATCGTTCTTCTCATCCAAATTTGTTGAAATTAAAGTTACTAATGATAGATCAGCAAGAACATTTTCCAAATGAGGATTTTCTTTTTTCGAATCAGTGATATATTTATCGAATTCATCTGGTAACTCTAAGTTTTCAAGTATAGTATCATTGTAACTAAATGACTTAGTTACAGATTTCCAATTCGGATGCTTCTGACTTTCCTGTGTCGGTATAAAAATATCCTGCTGGATTTGATTAGTTTGATCCTGTAATTAAAATGATCATTTTAATACATTAAATGTTAAATATCAGATTCTAAACATAATGAGTATTCAAAGTAGAGTTATAATCATTTAAATTTTAGACATGTCTAATGTGATAAAAATCTAGCAATGCCAATATTACCTGAGTTTGCGTCTGGGGAACATTTTCCTTATGATTTGTGGAAGTAAACTGGTTAGTACATCCTGATTTAACAGAAGCCTGTACATTGACTTCAGGGTGACTGCGTTCATGAAGTTTTAGTTGGTGTAAAGTTGTGTAAGATTTACCACATTTTTCCTTTAGGCATCTGAAATTATAGACCAGATTATTATAGAGTAAAATTTATTATTCTGTCAAAAAACTAATTACCTATACTTAAATTATAAAGCTGAAGAGTCTGTTTTGTTTTGATAGTTTGGTTGAACGCGCTAATCTCAGGAATCACTGGTCCGATTTGAAAAAATATTTCAGTTTTAAATAGCCCCTTTATCAGGCAAGCCTATAAGTTATATACCATCACGCTACAACTCATAGGAGCGGAGTATGGATTAAAAATGTTGCATAAACTAGGGAAATTTATTCCTTTTGTCAGACGCAGACGAAGGCTCGCGTGTAAGCTAATAATTTATATAGGCTAGTTGTTCAATCCTAATATTCACACATTGATATTCTTTTATCTAAATAATTAGGCAATTGCAGTAGAAATGTTAATACGTATGGGTGCTGACGATATGATAAATCTATGGTATGGACGATACGGGATTGACAAGAACTTTATTTTATGTAATAACAAAGTTTGGTAAAATATCAATCAGAAAATACATTAATTTTTTTAAAACACTTCTAATAATAACGTATAATTATTACAGAACCCTAAGAAGAATGGTATGTACTAAACAAAATAAAAAAATCATCATTGTCATCAACAGCCTTTAATAATCCATGCTGGACATAGGCCTCTACTTAGAAAGGCCTTGGTCTGACGAGTGGGTATAGGATTTATTTAAACTTTTTCTGCTTTTTGCAGTCCTGCGTAGTTTGCTCCCATAGCTGGCTCCTATGTCTTATTGATGAATAGGGGTTGTGACACTCCGTATTCTTAATTCGTCATCATACAAAAATTACATTAATCTAGACAGGGATATTTTGAACAAAAGCGTTTTCATTTATAAGTCTATATTTAATATCAAAATTAATTGAATTAATTAAAACGGTAGTGAAATCAATTGTATGTGTCGATGCTTCTCAAATTATAATTATAAATTAAAACAAATCATTTAATTTTATTGTTTGCTCTGAAACAAAATACTTACACGAATATTTTTTCTTGAGTGTGAGTACGCATATGTTTTTTCAAGTCACTAAGTGTCGTAAAAAGTTTGTAGCAACCTTCAGAGTCACAATTGAAAGTGTTTCCATTGTGCAATCTTTGGTGAGCTCGAAGCCTGTAAACATAATTCAAACTTAGTTTAAAAACTTTACTATACCTTATCGTCATGTCAAAAAATGTTTGTACAAAAGGAAATAAAACTCTATGGCAAACGATTTTTGTCGATCCGGTTATTATTCAGGTGAAATCCTTTTTAACATTCCAATTTTTCAGGGCAACCTGAGTCCTTTATTTACGGAAAATTTAGTTAAGCGTTGGGTGTAAATAAGAAAAATACACAAATAATTAGACAGACTCAACAGAGCCAGTTATTACACGTTGTCTGCAATTACTTGAAAGAAATTTTTATTCTCTTTGACGCGTGATCTGAACAGGACCTAATTATTTTAAACTGAATCATAAAACTAGTAACGGTTTTTCATCAGCTTTTATCGTACAATGTTTAGAAACGAATTTATAAATATTTTGCATATTTACAAGACGTGCCCATTTTTTTAAATACCTTCTTAAATGTAAGTGTCTGATAAGTTATGTTATGTTAAATAGTAAGTCGTGTGCAAAATCGTATGATCTAGAATCGTCAATCAGTCTATCAATATTAAGAGTAAAAATATTTACTAACCTATACAAGGTGTTGAATGCCTTCTTACAATCATTTTCTTCACATACAAAAGGTTTGACCTTTGTATGTACTCGTATATGAATTTTCCACCCGTATGATGTCAAAAATGCTTTCTCACACGACTCCACTGGACATTTGTACTTATAATCCCCTGTTAAAATAACAAAACTTTAAAAACGGTTCAATATGGCTTTGGAAATCTTACAAGTTTTATATACGTGCTTAAATTAAAGAAAACAAAGAATGTTATTACGATATTGGCTTTTTATTTTATTTTTATTTTTTAAAAGACAACTCCTGCTTTAGGAATATATATCCTGTGTCACGGGAGACTTTATGAACATACATGAAACGGACACAAAGAACACCCAGACTCAGAACAACAATTTGTGGATCACACAAAGTGGTGTCCCGTGCGGGGATCGAACCCACAACACTCAGCGCAGTAGGAAGCGGCGTGGCAACTGCTTTAACCACTACGCCATCCGTGCAGTTGATATTGTGCAAATATATCTTAACCAGAGGATATCATTTCCCATATCAGCTATAATAAAAACAACCTCATAAACAAATATTTGCATAATATATTAGCTACATACTATTTGGTATAGTCTGACTGTGAAAAATATATCAAAATTAAATTTGATAGTAGCAGTAGTAGGATTAAGTAATAAATTTTTATCAGCTGCATATTATCAGAGTTGAAATGGATCTAGATATCATTTTTTTCTGTGGAAACTGAGGATCAGCTGAATAGAGATGAAAGAAATAAAAATAGTAAAGGGAGAAAGTTAAAAGATAGACTTTAGGGCAGTTAAATATAGTAGTGTTTAGTTTAAATTTAGAGACAAAAACTACAGAAAGTTACATTCTATTTACGAGTGCTAAAAATATGTAAAGTGGCTTTTTCATACCTTTATGAGTTTTTATATGTGTTCGAAGATTTCCGATGGTGCTGTACGTACGACCACAACCATCAAATTCACATTCAAAGCGTGTTGGTTTCTCTTTCATATTTTTACTTTTTACATTATTTTTCTTCTTAATCGGATCTTTAGATTTAGGAACTGGAGCTTCAACTTTCGGCTTTTTAACATTTAAAACAGCTTCTTCAAGAAGTAGCAAAGAATGGTCTTCGGTATAGTCTTGGCCAAGGAAATTGTGCACTTGGTTCAGATGATTGCCATCTCCCATTGCAGGTGTTGCAACTACATCTAATGAAAATAATTTATATAATTTAAACGCTTAGATAAAATATTATAATTAACATCTTATATAAAGTGTACACGGATATGAGTTTTCAATTAACAGGTACGAATGATGATATCTGCCACTGTCTTTTGGGAGCACAAGGGGAACATGGGGGTACCCACATAGGAGGGGGTCATCTACACGCCATGGATGGCCCGAGGTACATCAGGGATTTCCTTTATAGGGTACCTACACCTGATTCCCCGGCTACTGGTACCCGAGACAGCGTGCGGTTTTTGGTCCGACATAATCACCCCACTGGTGGGTGATATCCGCGGGGATTCCCGTACAGGAAAACAAAAGAAAAGGTACGAATGATGAACTCTCATATTTTGTGTTATCTTTATAATAACTTGCAACTCATAAGCCACTGTTTTCTCTTCGCGATCTTATTACAAATTGTGTAATGCACATAATTAATATAACTGATAGGAATAAATAAACATATTATATAAACAAAACAAAGATAACACCCATAAAAGTCATGCTGCGATATTGACATATCATTTTTTACTTTTTAAATACAGGCTTATGAATTAAACAAAGGTGGTCAATGTATGCAAATTTTTCGTTATTTATTCTGTAAGTTAGCACATGCAGCAAAATTAAAACTTATTGCTGATTTTGAGATATTTTTGTCAAGCTAGTTTGAATTGCAAAGAGGTGCTTGATAATTTAATGCTACACATAATTCTTATGCCCAAATGTTCAGTTGGGTTCTACACAGTTGGGTCACACTGAGAGCTTAGATCTAACGTATTCAATTTATTTATACGATATCTTCCACGTGCAAAGTAATTATCTCCACTTAATTGATATTATCAAGAATGTTATGACGTATCAAATTATAATCTGAATAAAGATGAAGTGTCGTGTGCACATAGCCTCGTTGAAACAAAAGCTATTAAAGATCATTAAGATCAATATGATTCAGATCTAATGACCCAGTAGTATCATGAAAATAATTCACTAATATTCAATATGCAAAAGTAGTGGTATGGTTTATGATAATTCATTACGCACTATCAAAGTTTTTATTAATGATTTGGGGGCAAAGTCGAAACTAACCATTTTTGATGCTACATTCTGTCTTAACACCGAATGATTCCAAAAATCTCCAGTTGATCATGTCATCGGCAGAAACGGCTGTTGTAAGATTGAATATGTCCATGTTGCAGTTTGTTAACTTTTATCTGAAATAATGAAAATATTTATTCTTAAATCGGATTTGATCGAGACCGCGTCAATGACGAAACGGAATCACTATTCATTCCCGATTTATCCAAAAGCTACCTTTAGAAATTTCGTCTTAACGCCGAGGTTCATAGAGCTTATGAAGACTTTGCATATTTGCTTTTACAACAAAACTCAAAATACTTTGCAGACACACAGTTTTAAATGACCTATATATATTTATAGAATGCTCAATGTCATTTGTCATAATATTTAATTGGATTTTTTATTATAAAAAGAGTTGTATGGAATTTACCTCATACTTCTTTAAGCACTTTTTTGTAATACAGCCTTGTTTGTATTCGATGAAACTCCGTTTTTGCGTTGCGGTACTGCTTTTAAAGGCAAATTTGATAATATCAGTGTTGTTTTTCAAGCGATAACAGAGTCAAAACGATATTTTGAACTTTTTTTTAAATCTGAAAAAAAATATTTTTGATTTTTGTAAATGTAAAAACATACAGCACGAAAGAGATTAGATGATGATGATGATTAGCGCAATTTCCCTAATTTTGTGTTTCTCGTTAACCTTACTGTTATAACTTATAGCACTTAAAACAAGGAATCAGTCAAATTGACCCCTTTTAAGAATGCGGTGATGCTAATTTTATTTATTTACATCGAAGGTTCGAATGAAATAGTTAAGCATTGACACATACATATTCCCTACAGACATGTTATGCGATTAGATTACAATTAATTTTTTAACAATTCAGAGATTATTTTCAGTCAAGTCATAATATTTACGCATCAGTTTTAAGTCGTATCTAATCGCTATCATACATGATGACTTTACTATTAAACGAGTACATTTCGGACAAAAACGATAAGATACATGAAGGAAGATATATAATGTGAAAATTAATGATGATCCTAAGACTTGTAAAGACTGAATAAAAATCAAGAATATCAGTAAAAAGATATTTAATTTAAGGACCAGTTGATGTGGTAATATTTAGGACAGCTTATGTCTAGCAGTGGTCGTCTTTCGGCTAAGAAGAAGAAGATACAATAAAATTACTTGTAAGATATTAAAAATTGCCTTTAAAGAAATTCATACTTTAAAAAAATATATAGAGCTTACAGATACACATTCATTCGCGTCTATATCCTCGAAAGAGTAGAGAGAGGCGTATTAAATGAACATATTTTGCCACAAAACATTTAGGCCTACTTGCGTATGCAAGCTTGCCCTCTATGGAAGCGTTACTATCAACCGCACCCTTTAAGGATTATATATTACAATTGAGAATATAGTGAAAGGAAAGAGGGGCTAGTGGTAACCAGCTAGGTTAACACGTTGCAGAGTTAAGCTATCCTAGCCAGGTTGGTCTTTGTATGGGTCACTATTCCTAAACACATTGAGACCTTATAGAGCGTCCTAGTATGCCATACGAACATATATGGCAATCATTACAATTTGGCGTCCTAAAAATACAATAGACTTGCCTCAGAACATTGATATCGCCTAATACATAGGTTGTAAAAAAAATAAGTTCGCAGTAGAATTAAAAGCCACCCTACCACCCACCCACTACACCACCCTAGTTTGAAAAGAGAAGTATATTAAAACGAAAGGTAGATAAGAAGAAATGGAGAAGAATATTACATACTTCTACGGATGGATTAGGGAACGTAAGCAATAGATCAAGCAAGTCAAAAAAGAATGCTCGAGCTTTCTAACTGACAACAGATTAATTTGTAAAATGTTAAATTCATTTTATAATGCTATATGCATTATAAAATGCATTTTATGCTAATTCTAGTAATAGGCTTTGATGGTTAACGAAAAGAAAGTGAAAGAGAAGTTATATTGTATAGAATTGGTCGTAATAGTTAATACTTAAATTTCAGTAAATTTAAGATGTCAAATAAAAGAACTTGCGTCAATTTGTTGTTTTGTTGCTATCAACAGACAGGTCAGCGCCCTCGAGACGCCATTGATAACAATATACCAAAGCAAATGTCTTTGTGAATGAACTTTCCGAGCGCTATTAGTGTTAAAGTCGCACGAGTGAAAAACAATAGTTAAATTTCAACGTTTACTTTACTTTACCGTAAAAAAAAACCTTGTACCGCATTTTAGATACATTGCGCGCACTGAGCAGTTTCGGGTATGAAAATCTTTATAAGCACATTAAATTAAAAACAACATTCATTGTTTACATTCATTAGTAATCTTAGTAGTTCGTTCTATATCGTAATAGTGCTATCGGAATAGAACAATTTTTTAAAAAATATATTGAAACTCAAATAAGAGAAAAAACTACGTTCGAATTTAAAAACACAATAATTATTTACTCTAGTGTAGCAATGAGACTATTGTTACGTCCTACGTAATATCAGTTAATTTTATTTGTTTAAATATTTAAATTACTATTTAAGTTTCCAACAATATTGGATAAGTATTCTAAGCTATGACCACGTGTCTGCTTTACATTTTCAGCTGCAATGGTCCCAATTCGTCAGCGCCACAGTTTGTGAGCACTGACTTCTCTTTTTCCTTTCCTCAACTGTCCATCGTTACCTGAATACCTCGTACCCCACCGCCGTTTCTTATGTTCCAATCGCCACCGAAATCTTCGGTCAACAAACAATATGCTTCTTCTATCCCCCCCTCAGACCTCCAACTTCATCAACTCCTCCTTTTCCAGTCAGTTCTTCTTTGGAATGCGCTTCCTGCCGAAGCGATGCCGAAGGATGGCAACAAACCGTCTTGCATTCAAAACAAAAGTGCGCCATCTTCTTCGGAGTGAATTGGCAGAACAGTCACAACGCTAGTACCCGACTGAGTATTTTTATATTATATTTAAGTATGTATGTTTATGCATGTATGTGTGTTTATATAAAGTGTATGCTATTATGTCAAATTTAAATTTGGTTTTGCACCTACCGCATCATATTTCTATAGCACCTGAAGTGCTTGGGTTAACTGGGAGAAAATGCCCCATGGCATTACGTCCGCCTTTGTACAACATGTCCATTAAGTTTTAAATAAATATATACGGTACTTCCGATTTATCTCAAATTAAGTGAGCAGTTTTATAATCACATACACACATTGCTGTACTGAGCCATTGTAAAAGTGATTAAAACTAAACTGAAATATCAAAATTCGAGCCGTGCATGTCGTAATTATAAATTTATCCTTTATAACTCTAGCTCATAACCTATTTCATTATAAAAATAATGCCGACTATTGCGATAAGACGCGTCATAAGGGATTGGCTAGAAATACTGTTACAAGGCCACCACTCCGCAAGTGACGGAGGTCTCAGCGGGGGTATAGTATCCCCTACAGACACATTTCAAGCAATAACATTATAATTGAGTTATCAACCGTTTATAGATTATTTTCATGACGGCTTTTGTTGTGGGAAGAATTTCGCTAGAGACAATGTGTGTTAACATAGTCAGGAGCGATGATTTTACGAAGAGCTGATGTTAAATAAAAGATGGTGGAAGAGGTGATACACGAGATAGAGGATGAGTATATAATGAGTCTTCACTCTTCATCGCCGGGTCTGTCGGTCCAGCGCGGAAGAGTGTACCAGGATCTCTAAGATGATAGAGACTGAAACAGTGACGGACTAGGCGAGGAAAGAGGCCCCGAGCTCCACGCTTGTGCCACCTACTGACCAAGAAGCGGCCAATTTCCAAGGTTCTAGTTCCAAGTACATAATGTTTAATAAAGTATATGATATAACTTCTTTTATTTTTATCTATTATGCTTATGATAACATGATCAGATAAAATTTTACCAATGACGTCAAACGATGAATATTGCATTTTGTTATCACACGATGATCGCCAAGTCATATACCTATTACCGAAATATTAAACCATTTTACATATAAATACAAATACCACAATTTTGTCATACTCCATTAAAATTAGTCTTTGGTTGAAAAGCTTTAAAACGCAATTTCCACTTGATCTACATCTGTTCCGTTCTGTTTGCTCTGTTCTGTTTTTATCAAGTAAAATTTGTAGGCACCGTTTAGCCTCTAGATAGGTAATTGAGATTGAAAAAGAAGAGGTACAGATCTTTTATGTATATGTTTGATTATACAATTAACAACTAATTTTTTGAGACAAGTCAAAACACCCATTAAATGGTAAGTAAGTCAACGAAATTATTACCAAAATAATATAATATTGTACCACAATCACACAACGCCATCTAGTCCCAAACTAAACTAGACAACTGCTATAAATGCATATACATTATTCATAGAAACATCGAGATCAAATCAAACATTACATGTTCATGCATACAAATGTTTGACTTGAGCGGGAATCGAACCAGCGCCCTTTGGAATAGCAGTCCGTTACACAAACCATTACGCCATCCAGTCGTCAAATATTTTAATATAAATTATTATCTTAGCGCTATTATATCTTTTGAGCATAAAAACATTTAAAATATTTACAGTTGTGTAAAGTAACATAATCTTATCTATAAATGACTTTCCAGTCCTGACGACATTTTGTTAACATTATGTCACATAATGTGTTATTGTTTTCTCCAGCAACTCAAAGATTATTTTATAAATGGATCATAAGTTTTTTAAATAGTTTTTGCTACTATGTATATTAAAAACATTATACGTATTAGTAAACACCAAACTTAAGTAATATGAATATTGGTCTCAAAATTAACCGATGGTCAGCAATTTTTTGGTGTTTTTACCTCGTGAAGAAAAGGGCCAATTTTTTTTTTTTGTACGTTACACAACGCTTACTTACATATTTTGAAGAATTTGTCACAATGACTCCCGATTTTTTTTTAAGTAATGATATTACCTCACTTTGTTTTAAAGATAAAACAAAGGTCATATGTCGACTTTATCGTCATAAAAGACTAAGATAAGACTAGAAACCATCAAGCAAATACATTATAGAAATATCACAAGTATGATGTTTAAACAAAAAATG